AAGTAGTAAACTAAAAATATCAGAAAAATCTACCTGAGTACAGTAACGAAGTATTTGTACTTTGTTACTTCCCATCTCTGAAAAGGGCTTAGCTTTTTAGCAAATGCTGTGAAGACTTAAACACCTGGTTGGCTTCAGCATCACTGCATGAGTTAGAGCATGTTGTAGCGAGTATGTCTGAGGGAGATGGAAGACGAGCGCGGCTTAACGCCCTCTGCTCTGGCATCATGCTATGTTTCCTGTTAGACCAGCATTTGTACCTCTCCCACTGATTGACTCGCCTCAGAAATTACAGCTGACAAGACACCTGGGGCCACACTTCAGCTTCTGAAAAATGTATCTCATACAGAATTCTCGTCACCTCCGTCTTAAGAGTGTGCCATCATTTAGAGGGCAGCAATTCCCACAAGCTGTTATCTGAGTCTGTTTTAAGCCAAGCTATGCTGAGGGAAGCTAATCCTGCCAATATGGTTCATACGGCTATAGAGATGTTTAGGGGATTCTCCATCCTGCTGTAGTGACGCCCACGCTGCTCCCCCCATGGTTAGGATCAAGGACATCATTGCTTCAAAACTCCGAGATCCCACTGGCAGAGAAATGGTACACCAGGGAATTGCTGGAGAGAAAGGTCTGTTTTGTTTAGCTGTCAAGGGACATGCATTCACAGTTACAGATAAAGAAAGACACAGAAACAGGTTGGGGCAATACAGAAAGTCCCCTGACTAAACATTGACCAAACACTTGAAGAGATAGCAACTGCTCCTTCTAAATACAAACACACAATGTTTGCAAAACATGTAAACACTATTTAAATATATGGAAGATTTACAAAAAAAACTCTAAAGGGTTCATGTAATTGGATTAAAGTAGATTATTCATTTGTTTGTCACTTCAAAACAGCAGATTAAAAGATCCTAACATTTATTCTCTAAGGTTAACACAAATGTGCTAAAATGTATTTTAAAACAGTACATGGGCACTACCTAGTTTTTCTATTTTCCAAAAATGAGCTCAAACATATATCTATTGAAGGCTTTCCTACAGATAGTTTGAAATAATCCACAGTTTTATTGAAGAGAATAATATTTGGCACTTTTTTTGCTCTTCTGTTAAATTCTGCTTAAGATTCATTATGAGGAAGAAACTTCTTTTTTTTTGCATTTAATGCTACAACAAGTTATTCAGGTAAGAATAAAAATAACACTCAACTTTTCACAGGATCACAGTCAGCGACACAATGCAACATTTACCATCAGTACGTTATTTTTCAATCTTTCTAACATTTGTTTAAATCTGTGCTGCAGTTTTAGTAAACATGATATGATGCATATTTCATTTTTCACACACAACAAAAACTGTTTTGCTACTGCATTTGACACTTGCTACTGAGTTTTTGCATCAAACTCTGATATGTTTGGATGAAATGCATCAGCTGAGTTGAGCAGAGAGGGAAAACCTAAAGCTCGCATTGTTTCCTCTCTCAGCATCTTTCATGTGTTTAAATCAAATCTTCTGTAAAGAGAAAAATGAGCAGCGAACGGTCCAGTCTGTGTTTGCGCATATTGACAACACAAGAGAACCATAATACACTGATATTTGTATATATAGATAGTTAGAT